TGTTTGAACCAAGGCTGTAATGAGGCCAGGAGCTGAGTGGCCCTGGCAGAACCCAAACTGGGGCGTCACTGAGCAGGTGCTGCCTGATAGCACTGTTAGTGACACCTTCCATCACTTCACACCTCAACACTCCCCACACTCTTCCTTTCCCTCCCCCTCTCTCTCTCTCACCACCCTCACCTTCAGTCTCTGCAGCAACATCTCGCCTCTCTCTGACCTTCGACCCGGATGTTCTCCCTGAACCGGAAGCTCCTTCACCATGGCAACGCGGCCCAGTTGGCTCCTCGCCGCCTTGGCCTGGAATTCCGCCGCGTCCGGGAACGGCTCCTTAAACTCCCTTTTCTCCAGCCGGGGTTGTTTTTGCGCGGGGCTGGAGAGTGCAGGAGTTTAGCCAACACCAAATTAGCACAGAAAGCTGAGAGAATGTACCGTTGACCATTCAAACATCAGCATCAACCAGCAGCTGGGCCTTTATAAAACCAGAAAACTGCAGGTACAGAGTGCACAACAAATCCGGGGCTTAATACTACATCGAAATATTATGGATGTTGGAAACCTAAAATAGGAACAGATCATTTTGGGAACAGTCAGCAGGTCTGGTAACATCAGGGAGAGAGAAAGTTTCAGGATCACAGGTGAACAGATGTGCTGCCATGACCACAGCTTAATCCTTTGAGAAATAAACCTCCCTGAACTGGATGTTTTATTCTGATGGACCACCGAGGGTAATGCTGTGAAGGAAAAACACAAGCAGAAAGTGCTGGAGGAACTCAGCAGGTCTGGCAGCATCTCCAGAGAGAGAGAGAGAGAAACAGAGTTAACGTTTCTAGTCTGACATGACTTTTCTTCACAACTGAAAGGAGCTGAAAAATGCTGGTCTTTAATTCTGTTCTCGCCGAGGGTGGTACTCTGAGCTGCCAGCTGGATGACTGAAATAAAATGATTGCAGCAACTGTTGGTCACCACCAACACGGGATTATCCAAGTATGGTGTCAAAACAAACATGAAGTTGCACCCCAAGAACTGAATACATTTTCCAGATTAATGCAGCGTGTTATTATTGAGATCCACAAGGCAGTCTGGTGGTGTCCATTGTTTGTGGAAGCCCAGTGGAGACTGGCATATTTCCTTAGAACTAGAAACCTGACCCAGCAACCTGGTTCTGATAAAGGTTCACGTTCTGAAACATAACATTTTCATTCGTCACAGACATTCATGGCTATGCTGAGTATTTCCACGAGAAACCAGTGATCCCAAAAGTGCATTACCCTGGAATGTTTAAACTCCTCAAACAATAAGCAATACAGCAGCAGTCTGTACTATCTACAACCTATATTGCAGAAATTCACCAAGGCTCCTCCAGCAGCACCTTCCAAACCCACAATCACTACCATCTAGAAGGACATGGGCAGCAGATAGTTGGGAAAACCACCCCCTGCAAGTTCCCTTCTAAGCCATTCACCATCATGTTTTGGAAATATATCTTCCATATCCCATGAAAGAATAATAAAAAGCTACTAATCACTGCACTGTTCTAACAAATGCATAAAGATGGGCCTTTATCATTCAAGAATTTTTGTTATTTGGTACGGGAATGGGGTGTTAAGTAATGCCAGAAGATATGATCCATCCTATGTGGAGGGCAAGTCCACGAAAAAAATCAGTCATACTTGGGAATTAACATACTGGTCATACTGCAGCTCAATTTTGAAGCATACAAGGTGAGTCAGACCAGTATTTGTCATCCGCAAGTTTTACTGATTTTCTCTCCTGGATAGTTGCCCCTGGAGATGTGACAATGCACGTTCTCCTTGAACTGTGCTGTCCGAGATGGTGGATGTACTCAGAAAATGCTGTACAGGAGGGAGTTCCAGGATGTTAACCCAGCAAAGGTGAAGTAATGGCTGATACCTTGAGGTTTAATTGGCGTGTGATCTAGGAGATCATTGAAGATGATGCTGTTCCCTTTATAAATACACTGCTCTTGTTCTGAGTCAGGGAGTTGATGTGAAATGTACAGTTTATCACAAGCTCTGTTACCTGTCCATGAAGCATTAGCAAATTCGGTTGATCAGAGAACATTCATTGCCCAATATTGTCCCAGAGGTACTAGGAAACAATCTTGTCACGTGGCCAACACCACTGGGGTACTGGTAACAGCTTCCCCTCCCTGAAGAACGTCAGTAAACCAGCTGGGTTTTTACACCAATTGTCAGCTTACATGGTCATTTTCTAGTGCCAACCCTTAAATCACAAGTTTCATTGAATTCATTTTCACAGTGGGGTTTCAATTTATAACCTCTGGGTTGCTAATCATAGAATCCTTACACTGTGGAAACAGGCCATTTGGCCCATCAAGTCCACACCAACCCTCCGAAGAGCAGTCCACCCAGACCCATCCCGCTATCCTGTAACCTTGCATTTCCCATGGTTAACCCCACCTAACCTTCACATCCCTAGACACAATGGGCAATTTAGAATGGCCAATTCACCTAACCTGTGCATGTTTGGATTGTGGGAGGAAACCCATGCAGACAGGGGGAGAACGTGCAAACTCCACACAGACATTCGCCCGAGGGTGGAATTGAATCCAGGTCCCTAGCACTGTGAGGCAGCAGTGCTAAGGACTGAGCCACTGTGCCGCCCTGATACAGTATCAAAGCCACCATATTTCATACCCTTGTACATGTCATGTCCCTCCATAGGCTGGACATTTAACCCTTAAGCAGATGGTGCAAGCAGACGTGTACAATGCTTTTCTAATGGCCCAACACCATCCTAGTGTCAGTGTAAAACTATATATTCTCTTAGAACAGAACAGAAACACTTGCATTCATTCAGCACTTTTCAAAACCTCTTTTTTTCCACTTGCTACTATAATGAAAGAAACAGTTCAGTTGCAGTTCACTGGATTGATTCCAGAGATGAGTTTGTTTTATGAAGAGAGATTGAGCAGTTTAGGCCTATACTCACTGGAGTTTAGAAGAATGAGTGGAGATCTAATTGAGCTATAGAAGATGCTAAAAGAGATTGACAAAGTAGTTGTAGAGAGGATGTTTCCTCATTTGGCACAATCTGGAAAAAGAGGTCATTGTTTTAGGATAAGGGGTAGCAGATTTAAAATAGAGATGAGGAGAAGTGACTTCTGTCAAATGTTTGAGAGTCTGTGGAATTCACTCCCACAGTGCGGTGGATGCTGCGACATTGGAGGGGCAAGGGGAGGGTAAGGGGTGAAAAGGGGGTAAAATGCAGGGGGTAAAATGAGGGGGAGGGGTAAAAAGAGTGGGTGGCAGAAAGGTAAAACGGGAGTGAGCAAGGATAAACCGATGGAGGGATTAGGAGGGAGGATAAATGAGTTGGGGAGGGGGGGAGGGAAGGAGGGACAGCAGTAAAACAAGGGAGAGGAAAGCAGGAGTAAAACAAGCTGAATGGCCTCCATTTTGTGATTTTTATGATTGCCCCTGCACTGTGGTTACAGCTTACTGCTGACTGTACTGTGAAACAACGATGCCCAGTGTCTGACTGTGTGCTCACCATCATGTGGGCATTAGCAAAATGGTGTATTATAATAAGACATGATCTGGCCAAAGTGGACTGCGAGCAGCTACTTGTTACATAGGATCAGTGGTAGTGAGTGAGAAAGGCAATAGTGAGAGTGCAGGGCCAACATGTTCCTGTAATGATGAAGGGTGGGACTAACAAGTCCAGAGAATCCTGGATATCGAAGATTAGATAAAGGATAGAAGGGGAAGCTTCTGGTAGTTACAGAGGGCTGAAAACAGCAGAAGTCCTAAAGGACTATAGAAAGTGCACAGGATTATAACCTTGAACAGACCCTTCAGCTCACCATGTCTGGGTCGACACGACAACATTCTAAACTAATCCCATCTGCCTGCACATGGTCTTTACCCCTCTATTGCATGCCTGTTCATGTATCTAAATGCCTCTTAAACATTGTGGTTGTATCTGCTTCTACCATCTCCCTTGGCAGTGTGTTCCAGGCACTTAATATCCTCTCTGTTAAAAACAAACCTGCCCCACACATCTCATTTTAACTTCCTGCCCCCCCCCCCACCTTATCTTGAACCCAGTTTGAAATTTCCATTCTGGGAAAGACTTTGACTATCCCCTATATCCATGCCTCTCATAATTTTATAGAATTCTATCGTCACCCCCCAGCTTCTGAAGCTCCAGTGAAAACACTCCAAGTCTATCCATCCTTTCCTGAAAACTGATACACTCCAATCCAGGCAACATTCTCGTAAACCATCTTTGCACCTTCTCCAAAGCCTTCACACTGGGAAAAAAAGAGAAGAGTGAAAGGGGGCACGAATAAACACTTGTATGTAAATTAACCAAAATCTATAGGCATTTTGTAATTGTATTAGGTACGAGAGGATAACCAAGGAAACAGTAGTATCCATTATGGACCAAAGTGGCAATCTGTGTGTGGAGCCGGAAGATATGGATGGGGTTTTGAATGAGTACTTTGCATCTGTATTCACTGTGGGGAAGGAAAATGTAGGTCGGGAACAGTAATAAACTTGAACAAATTAGCATTCAGAGGGAGGAGTTATTCATGGTTACAGCAGGCTTAAAATTAGATAATGCTACACACTCTGAGATGAATCCCAGGCTGCAGTGGAGGTGAGGGAGGTATTTGAAGGGGCCCTGACATTAATTTTCAAATTCCCTTTGGCCACAGGAGCGGTATCAGAGGACTGGAGGACAGTTAATTTGGTACCATTATGCAAGGAGGGAGGTAGGAAGGAAACTACAGGCTAACAAGTCTAACATCTGTAACCATTGGAAGCAATTCTGAGAGGTAGAATTAATATCCACTTGGAGAGGCAAGGATTAATCAAGAATAGTCAGTGTGGCTTTGTTACGGAGAGATTGTGTCTAACAAATGTGAATTTTTTTGAGGGAGGTGATTAGGTGTGTAGATGAGGATAGTGCAGTATAGTCAACTTGGACTTCAGTAAGGCTTTTGACAAGTTGTTGCATGGGAGACTGATCAAGAAGGTAAGACCCCATGGGATCCAGGGCAGTTTGGCAAAATTGGATACAAAACTGGCTTAATGCAGGGGGCAGAGGGTAATGGTCAAAGGTTGTTTTTGTGACTTTGTCCAATTGTTTGCCGTAGGGTTCAGTGCTGGATCCCTTGCTATTTGTTGTGTACATTAATGATCTACCCATGAAGTTAGGAGGTTTAATAAGTAAGTTGAACCTAATTTGTGGTATGGTAAATCGCAAGGAGGAATGTCTTAGACTACAGGACAACATTGACAGGCTGGTCAGATAAATAGCAAATCGAGTTTAATTCTGATAAATTGGCGGTGATACATTTTGAGAAGACTAACAAGGCAAGGGAGTACACAATGAATGGTGGGACCCTGGGAAGTACTGAGGTTCAGAGGGACCTTGATGTGCATAAGATGGTCAACAAGGCATATGAGATTTTATTAGCCTTTATTAGCTGATACAAAGAAGATCAGAAGGGTTATGCTGGGATTATATTAAATGTTGGTTAGATCAAAAAGGAGTCAAATAAGATCGCTAGAAAAAGTAGCAAGCCTGAGGATTGGGAGCAGTTCAGAATTCAACAAGGGAGGACCAAGCAGTTAACAAGGGGAATAATCCAGAATGAGGGTGGGCTTGCAAGGAACTTATAAGCAGACTGCAAGAGATTCTACAATTCTGTAAAAAGATGAGTGAAGACAAATGAAGGGCCCCTTAAAATCTGAAACAGGAGAATTGATAATGGGAAAACAAGGAAATGGCAGAACAATTAAACAACTAGTTGAAACAAGCACAGAAATTGCTAGTGAGCTCAGCAGGTCTGGCAGCATGTGGAGGGAGAAATGTTTCAAAACTGATAGCAGTAGTTTATTTGTGTCTTCTGTAAAGTCTGAACTAACTTCCAGGAATGGTAGAAAAACAAAGGTCCTTTGGGAAGGAGGAACTGAAAGAAATTATTGCTGAAGAAATGAATGGAACTGAAAGCTGATAAATCCCCAAGGCCCTATAACCTAAATTCCAAGCTGCTAAAAGAGGTGGCTGTGGAGACAGTGGATGTGTTGGTTGTCATCTTGCAGAATTCTGTAGAATCTGCAACACTGTGATTCCCGGCAGATAGTAGAGTGGAAAATTTGACAAGGAGGAGGAAGTGGGAAAACCAGGAATTACAAACTGGTTCATAAACATAAACAGTAGCAAAAATGCTGGAGTCTGTTATAAAGACTGTGATTACAGGACGCTTAGTAAATGCCAAAGGGATTACACAAAGTCAACATGGATTTATTAAATGGAAACTGTGTTAGACAAACTGGAGTTTTTGATAATGTAATTCATAGAATAGATGAGGGACAACCAATGGATGTGGTATAACTGCATCACCACTTCCTCAGGAAGTTCATTCCACACGCAAACCACTATAAAAAAAGTTGCCTCATGTCTTTTTAAAATCTCTCTCCTCTCATCGGAAAAATGTGCCCCCAGTCTTGAAATTCCCCATCTTAGGAAAAAGACAACTACCATCAACTCTATCCACACCTCTCATTATTTTCTAAACTTCTATCAAGTCACCTCTCAACCTCCTATGATCCAGTGAAAAAAGTCCCAGTCTATCCAGCCTTTATAACTCAAACCTTCCATACTTGGCAACATCCTGGTAAATCTCTTCTGAATCCTTTCCAGCTTGATAACATCGTTCCTACAACTGGGCGACCAGAACTGGACACAGTATTCTAGAAGAGGTCTCACTTAAGTCCTGTACAACCTCAACATAACATCCAACTCCTATACTCAAAGGACTGAGCAATGAAGGCAAGCATGCCAAACACCTTTTTAACCATCCTGTCATTAAGGATAGCAGGATGACATTTGGTCCATCAAGCCTCTGCCTGCTTAATGTATGTTTTATCTACTTGGCCCCATTCCCTTGCTCTTTCTCTATAGCCCTGCAACTTTTTTTAAAAAGTACTTCTTCAAATCTCTTTGAAGGTTACTATTAAGTCTATTTCCCAATGCTTTCCAGATCACATAACTCACTGAATAAAAAAATTCTCTTCATCTTACTTGCAGTTCTTTTGCCAATTACTTTAAATCTGTGGCCTCTGGTTACTGACACTCCTAACAGTGGAGACAGTTTTTTTTAATTGTGTCTCTACCATGTTTATCACTTATCAAATGTAGAGTGTGGGATGAGTAATGGTAGGCACATGAGCACTCATTCACCAATATGCACGACAGATCATTCAGTCTTACAAAAGTCTTTCGATCTGCCAACATCACCAGAACAAATCTCTCTGTTTGGAGCCTCCTATTTATCTTCAGTTGGATAACTAGAAACATTGCAACGAATTTACGACAATGTACAGGACAACATTTTATACTGATTGGTTAACAAGTGGGCAACCAAGTGAATTGGTTGGTGATCTTGGCAATTAACTGTCAGTTATTATCTAATCGGTGCATTTTCTATGGCAAGGCCTCTACCAAAATGCACTTGCCAACCAGTTAGAACTGTCTTTAACAGTATAAAATGAATTTCTCCTTTGGTGTTCTTGCGAATGTCCTGATGAGTGCACAAATGACAAGCTTTAACAAAATGTCATCTTTCTTCCAGCAATGCTCGTGATTCATTTTTTTCCACCAAAGACTACCCAAACAAATCACTAGTAGTTGCAAAGATGCCAATACTAGCTATTTACAGAAGGCAGATATTTTTAAATGACAAGTTGCTGGGATTTTTTGCTTTCACAAGTGCATTTTGTAATAATTATTTGGAAATATCCATAAGTCCAAAAAAAATTGCCATTTTCAGTGCCTGAGGTTCTGTAATGTATTAATGTTGTACTGATTGCACAGAATTGACATGTTGCAAATCTGACTTCACCTTAAGAAGTCACCCTCTGTACATAAGAGACTGGAAACCAATTATTGATTTTATTTCTTAAAACTTAGAGTAATCCCTGTCCAGCCATTTTTTCCTATTTAATACAATAATGTCATTGTCTTTTTTATATTTCTGACGTTTGCTTTGTAACACCCAGTTATCTTCTCTGTATCATCTGCAACCTGAGTGACCAGTGCTATTGGGATGCCAGATACTCGGAAATACACTAGCATTACAGGCAGGAGTCAACAGTTCCTTACCCATGGATTCTACTCTGAGTAATAGCACAACCCGAAGCCAGGAGCTCTACATCTACAGTTTCTTTTTTATTCCCTTTATCCTTTCATAAGATATGGATAAAGTTCTTTGTACTGCATATGACTTCCTAAACTTTAGTCAAAGAGCTGATAGTTTACTAGAAAATGATCTAATCTATAACCTTAAAGCTTTTTACTTGCATTCCAAAAAAGTGTGTACTTAATTGTTTTTCCCCACCAGTTTTCCACTATTTAACTGGTAAAGGAAACAGAATTAAATGGCTCCTGACATTACAACATTGAGATTTCCTCCAATACAAAGCGATTTACTTAGTTTGATCATGTCACAAGCATTGCAAAGCCCCTCATACACAGTTAATTACTTTTTATTTTTTGGTCAATGAATTTATAATTTTTTTTTTCTCTTCTAGTGAAGTTTCTGGAAATCTGAAATAAAACACAGTACTGGAGAAATAGTAGGTCTTGCTACATCTGTGGGAAGAGAAACAAGAGTTAACATTTCCAGATTAATACGACTCTTGCAAGAGTCTCTTAACTAGTTTTCTCACCACAGATGCTGCCAGACCTGTGGAGTTTCTCCAGCACTTAATAGTGATTTGTTTTGGTGAGCAGCTTTTAACTAGTGCCTCTCTCCTGGTCATATGGAACTTCCTCAATGGTAGTACTTTACTAACAGAAAATCTCATCTCCTAATCTTACAACCCTTGTAACACTGATACATTAATTTTATTTTTCAACCATTATTTTAATTGTGCTTCCTTATGCTCAGTGTCAGTGATTGACAGTTGAACATGGACAACACCACAGCCTGTTCTCAAAGTTCTGCTAATGAAAGCAGATATACCAGAATGAGTCTGCTCATTCAAGTGATCCTCCTGCTTCTCTGAGTGCACCTCCAAGACGAGAGGGCCTGTTCACTCAGTTTGTAACAGGCGTACTCTATCCCCACCTTCTGCCTTGCACTTGGCACTTCTCCAGCTGTCACCTGAAGAAGGGTCCCAACCCGAAATGTCAACTTTCCTGCTCTTCTGATGCTGCCTAGCCTGCTGTGTTCCTCCAGCTCCACACTGTGTTGTCATTCATTCATGTCCTGGTGGACTATTCCACAGAGCAACCAAAAAGCCTCGACTGGGGCTCCATGGGATTAGATCCCAGTTTGTGAAATGCTGCTGTACAAAACAAACCAAGAGGTGACCTAATTGAAGCTTTTAAAATTGAGGGATTTATTAGGTTTGACATAGAGATGTTTTCCACTTGTAGGTGAGACCAGAAGTGGGCCATAAAATGTAAACCAGTCACTAAAACTATTACACAGATAGCAGTGAAAATGTGAATTTCAATAGCACACAGAATAGTTGAGGCGAATAAGAAAAAGCTCCAGAAGCACAACGGCAAAAGGAATAAAAGGATATGTTACTGACTAAACTGTAGAGGGGTGGAGGAAGGCTCATCTAGAGCATAAACATCAAACAGACCAGCAGGTAATGGCCAGCCTACAGACACATTGAAACACCCATCATTAGCACATGGTATGTTTAGTCAGACCGCCACTTAGATCAGTCTTGATCACTGTTGTATCTTGAAAAAAAATACACCACTCACACTAAACTTCTTTATATTTTATTGAAGTTCACAGGGGAGGAACACATTACAAACTCTGCAACAGCTTAACATGAAATTGTTACACTACTCACTACCCGGGATCCTGCCAAATCAAGAATTCCACAGGGTTATTTTACTCAGGGAATGTTCACCTCACTGTGCAGAGTTCACATGGCCTCCAGTGACAGATACTGATCCTGGTCAGAAAAAAAAAATGAACTGGGAGGATTTAAGGAAGGAATATAACCAGCTCTTTGCATTTTCAAATTAGATCCTAAATAGTGTTAAATATGATAAACTACATTTTAAAAATAATGAACACTTCAGTTAAGCGGCCTGGAGTCTCTCAAAGACATTCACATAATACAAACTAACAAAATTCGAAATTAGATGCTGAGGTAATGCAGACATCAACACTTTGGTATGGGGGTGGGATGGCAGTAGTTGTGAGATATGTATCACCCTCAAAAACCCCAAAATATTGGATATCTTGCACACACTTGGAAGATCTTTTAACTTTTACAAAGTTCATGTATTTTAAAACCTCCAAGAGCCTGGCCTCATCTTTGGGCCTGAGAAGGAATGACTGAAGAAAAAAAACTGAATGAAGAGGTAGCTGCTTTAAAAATATGAAACTTCTTAAACCACCAATTTGTGGCTGACTTTGTTCTGGAAATCCGGGCTCTTCTTTGCTCCCTTTTAAATAATCGTTGGTGAAATGGACGGCTGTAATCATCACCACTACAGGACAATCCACATGCTGCGACCACTGTCTGCCAAGCGCTTCAGCGAGCGGCCTAGAGAAAAGTCAACATTGACATTGAATGTTCACTATATTGCTCAGGCTGGGATTTCAATGCAGATCCGTAAATAAAGAGATGAGTCACTCACTGGGAGTGGTTTACCAGGCCTCTGACATTTTGAAGTGTGGAATGATTGTCTGTCCATCCATTCTCACCCCTCCTTGTGACAATGGATTTGAAGACTTAACACAGAGCCTGAATGCAGAACCGTGTGAAGGAAACTCAGCTGGGGTGGGCCTACTCAAACCCTGCTATGTTGCTCACTAGCTTTTTGTCCAAGATCACTAACTGAATTATCTTTGCCTGGGAGCAGCTGGCTCTGGTGTATCAGAATTGACTGCAGCAGAGTGACAGGGCACAGAGCACAGATATATACCAGAGAATCCCAACACAGGACTCTGTTTTATTGTAGATCAGGTACTTCTCAAACGATGAGCAAAATGAAAGTGACATGCCCAGAATTCAATTCTGTTTTTAACTCTTTCACCCCTACCGACACTCCTTCAACTTCTTTGGTCTGTAGAATCAAAAAGAGAACAGTCTTAACTAATAGTTCAGGCAACATCCTTCAACCAAGCAATACAGGCCTTGGTAGTCTCGCAACTGTGTGCTCGCTTAGTGAACTGGAGAAAGCAGGCTGCAAATGGTCCCCGGTTAGATCACATGCATCACTGCGCTGCAATAAGTTTACACATAGGCTAGGGGCACACACACTCATGGCACTAAAACAAACCTTTATGCAGGGCTTCATTTGTCATTCTGTTAACATTGCGAAAGGTACTTTCAGGGACCAGCCATCTCATTGCTATATCAACACAGCTTTTCCGGAAGGTACTCCAAACACTGCCACTATATAAAAGGATTGCCGGGGTTTGGGGTGGTGATGAGGAATGGGGGCGGTGAAGCGGGGTGGGAGAGAGAGAGAGAGACACACACATTAATCTAAATTTTCATTCTGAAGTGTTATTGAATAAAATTCACTACGTAACTTACCTTGTTTGCCCCTGTACAGCAGTTAAGTCACCAACTCCCATAGTTGCAAATATACCAGTGTTTAGATTCCACGTGCCCTTCAAACAAGTATGATAGGTCTTAGGTCTGAAAAATCAGTGACAGAGTTTGATAATATTTCACAGATACACATTCAGTTTACCAACACAGGATTGTTTTGGAGACACTCAAAACTGGAGTACTGGGAGTGGGAACCTTTTGACAGATCTGCAAAGAGGTAGCTAGCCAGAATAAATGATTTCAGATTAGAGTTCTGGAACTCACTCCTTGAGTGTGTGCTGGAATTCTAATAATAATGTTAACCAAGAGGAGAGGATATTTACTTAAAAGGAGAGACAACTACAGGGCCTGTAGGAATGAACACAGGAGTAGAACTAATTGGATAGCTTTTTCAAACAGCTGACACAGACACAATGAGCCAAATGGCCTTTGTCTGTGCTATAATATTCTGCTCAATATTCTTTGAGGCCTAGGGAATTATTTACTTTCCTTCAGCTGTTGAAACGGAAGCATGATCTATGAAAGAAATAGGTTTCATGGGTCAAATGAGTTTTTTTTTTTCCATAGAATCCCTACAGTGTGGAAACAGGCCCTTCGGCCCAACAAGTCCACACTGACCCTCTGAGCATCCCATCCAGACCCATACCCCTATAGCCCACCTAATCTACACAGCCCTGAACACTACGGGCAATTTAGCATGGCCAATCCACCCAACCTGCACATCTTTGAACTGTGGGAGGAAACTGGAGCACCCGGAGGAAACCCATGCAGACATGGAGAGAATGTGCAAACTCCACACAGACAGTCGCCCGAGGCTGGAACTGAACCCAAGTCCCTGGTGCTGTCAGGCAGCAGTGCTAACCACTGAGCCACCACGCCGTCAATTGCTCCAGAATGCAGTGACTCTACTATCATCTGGTAGTTAAAATAAATCACAACACATCCATCCATTCTCATATGTCTGAACAGCTGCAATTTTGTGCAGAAGATGAAATTTTCTCAGGCATACTAAATACACAACCTCAGATCTGTAAGCTCTCCAACCATATAACTTTTAAGATCTCTACATTGCAGTCCTGGCTTCGGTACATCGCCAACTGATATCGCTCCACACCATGGGAAGCTGTGCTTCAGAGTCCCTGGGGATGAATTCGTTCTCAGCTTGTCCATCTCCAAAGATACTCCTTAAAACTCAGTTCTTTGACAAAAAAAATAGTTTTGCAAAGCTCTCTTAATGAATCTCTTTCTGCTTGGTGTCAAATTTTGTTTGGTAAAGCTTCTGTAAAGTGCATTGGAACACTTTAAGTTAAAGGTGAATTCCAATTGCAAATTGTTGTGTTTGTGTTTACAGCACAGCGACATCTCAATTCCTGTAGTCTGCAGTACTGGAGAGAGAATGGACCATCTGTACTGAGTTCCTGTGATAAACATGTCTAAACTTGAATCATACCCAACTCCACTGCTCTCTAAAGTTTAAACTTCAAATTTTTCTTGACTCAGTATGTGCCATGCTAACAAGTGCAGATAGCACACTGCATTACTGACAGTGAACTGCAGCAGTGCCCACACAGGCCTGCATGAATATGTCTATATACACATACATACACTCACGTCAGGTTTACATTTACATTGATGTATAACTCCAGATAGACACTTGAGGGAACAGGCAAAAACATAACATTGAAATGTGGTTTATACCCTGGACATGCTAAATGCACTCAGAACTTCTTTTTAAACATTAAACCAGAATGGGGAAATCTGCAAGTCACATTTTGCCTTAATTTAATCCGTATTCCTTTGTGTGTTTGTATATGTAGGTAGTCCTTAACAGCGCATGAGACTTTCTCCAGAAGTTTCAATACTGCAGACTATGGAGGGCGTTTGCATTCTGTTCAAATTATTCTGAAGTCTTAACTGTGTTTGCACTAATTCAGTTTGGACATTCACTATACAAAATTGTCTTCTCTGTTTGTTTTTGAATAATTTACATGTTCAAATTGGATATTCATGTGGTGTCCAATGCAGCTTCCATACAGGGTCAATATATTTCAATTTACCTTAAAGGTTTCCCAGATGTTTGACTCAACTATCTGAGTATTGACCAAAAGAACGACATCAGGAACCAGTTTCACCCATGACCACCTATGCTCTCTTGGTATCTCTCTCTCTCACACACTTACGATCTTCATAAACTGGAGCTCAGCCAACCCTCAGCTGCCATATCCTAGTTTGGTCCTGTTCACTGATCAGCCGTGTTCACTGACCTACGGTGGCTCCCAGTCAAGCAATGCCTTAAAATTAAAATTCTCCATCTGTTTTCATGTCCTTTCATGGCTTTGCATACCTAACTATATCTGTAACAAATAGTCATTTTGTAGTACAGAGCTTGACTAATACTGAAAAAAAGACACTTTTTTTTACCCCCCATCTTTTCCTCTTGCATTGATCAGGGCGATGTGTAAGAAATACCAATGTAAACAGAAAATAACATTTATACTCAGAACAGTTAATCTGTTAGCAAGTAGACTCTGATAGAGTTGCTGCCATGGAGCATGCACCAGTCAATGATAATGTTACCCCTACCATGTGCCCAAATAGTGTTAGGATCTCTGCCTTCCCAGCTCCTGTAGGTATCTTTGCTATGTGTCAGAAATGAATCTTCAATGGTGTGACACTTATCCTCCCCCAGCATACTTCTGATACGATTATATGTTCACCATATTTGAATCCACAGATGTGTGTAAGACCTTACATGACTTAATAGGTTCCAACTTCTGATCAAATGCGCCTTATGAAATGGAAGTCAAACGATCTCCCTTTCATTGATGTCCTCGTTCAGAAATCGGCCAAGGGCTTCTCTGTTACTATCCACTGCAAACCTACGTTTACAAGACAATACATACCTTGGCATTCCTACAGTCCCATGTGGTATAAAGATTGACCTTATCAGCAACCTTGTAAACAGAGCTAAAGCCATTTGTTCACTGTATAAGCATGATACCAAAATAGGGTTTGTCAAAGCCATCTTGCAAGATAATGGCTATGCTGATTGCATTATTCTTGCTGTATATCATACAAGTTTATAAATGAATGGGCCTAAGGGCCATCACTTTTGGTCCTGAAATTCTACCTCATATTTCACTGGAAGGTTAAGACATCTCAAAGCATTGAACAATGGGTGAAGCTAACTCTGTTATGCCCCTACAATGCAATAGTAACATAAGTGTTCGCCACTGCTAAGATGCTTCAACAAAATAACTGGCAGTAATTTCCTGTTCCATTTCTCGGAACAATGTCTTGACCAACTGAAGTCCACATGCCTAGTACAAAATTTCAACCAAACTTGGCAGTTAACACTCAGTCATCATTAACTGGTGAAATTCTTCACATCAATACCCCTACCAGTCAGAATCCTCGAGAGTCCTCTTGTCAAACAATTAGCATTCCCTTTTCATACAAGTATAAATGTTGCTTCATTACAAATTGTCCTGATGAGTGGTTTGAGCTATAGGAAGAGGCTGAATAGGTGGAGGCTTTTTTCCCTGGAGCTTCAGAGGCTGAGTTGATCTTGTAGAGGTTTACACAATCATGGGGGTGAATAGCCATGGTCTTTTTCCTAGGGTGGGGATGTCCAAAACCAGAGGGCATAGGTTTAAGGTGAGAGGGGAAAGATTTAAAACGGATCTGAGGGGCAACGTTTTCACGCAGAGGGTGGTGCGTGAATGGAATGAGCTGCCACAGGAAGTGGAGGAGTCTGGTACAATTGCAACATTTAAAAGGCTTCTGGATGAGTATATGAACAGGAAAGGTTTAAGAGGGATATGGGCCACATGCTGGCAAATTTCTAGGTCAGACTGGGATGTCTAGTTAGGTGGACAAGTTAGACCTAAAGGTCTGCTTCCATGCTGTATGACTCTATGACTATTTGTGCTGGAGATCAGAACATCTCTCATCACTAAGCACAGCATTGAGAAATGTTAGCTTGCAACGTTGAAGATTTTCAACTTGCACTCATTAAGACTGGGTTGCAAGAAAACCAAACTTAGAAACGGAACACTAATTTATGTTGCATGAGAAGAGGATACTGACTGATTAGACTACGATTGATATAGGGATGCAGCAGGAACTGCTGTCAATCTCAGTCGATTCAATTCATAGAATCATGCAGTGCAGATGTGGCCCTTCAGTCCATCGAATCTGCACTGACGTGACAAACACCTTCAACATAATCCCATTTACCAGCACTTGGCCTATAGCCTTGAGTGTTATGACATGTCAAGTGCTCATCCAGGTACCTTTCAAAGGATGTGAGGTAATTCGCCTCTACCACCCTACCAGGCAGCACATTCCAGACCATCACCACCCTCTGGGTAAAAAAGGTTTTCCTCACATCTGCCCTAATCATCCTGCCCCTCACTTTGAACCTGTCTCCCCTCACGATTGACCCTTCAACTAAGGGGAACAGCTGCTCCTTATCTGCTCTGTCTATGCCCTTCAATTTTGTACACATCAATCAGATTGCCCCACAACTTGCTGTGCTCCAACGAAAACAACTCAAGCTGATCCAACCTTTCATCATAATTTAAAATTTTCCATCCCAGGCAGCATCCTGGTAAATCTCCTTTGTACCCTTTCCAGTGCAATCACATCCTTCCTGTAATTCAGACCAGGCTTTGATTGATTGATTGATTGATTTATTTGTCGCATGTACTGAAAAACAGTGAAAAGCTTCGTTTATGAGCGGTACAGGAAGATCATAGTAAGTAAAGGACGTACAGATCAAAAAGACTTAGAGGCATACAAGTAACATTGCACAGGGTGTGCACTAGGCGAGATCAATGTTAGCAAGATCAGCGTTATTTGAGGCTACACAGTCCATTCATCAGTCATGGCAGTTTCCTTCCCTAAAGGACATTAGTGAATCAGATGGATTTTTCTGACAATCGACAATGGACTCACAGTCATCATTAAATCCTTAATTCCAGACATTTTATTGAATTCAAATTCCACCATCTGCCATGGCAGGATTTGAACCCGGGGCCCCAGAACATTATCTGGGTCTCTGGATTAACAGTCCAACGATAATGCCACTAGGCCATCACCTCTCCTGAACCTGCTCGTGCGCATGTGCGGGCTTCTGTACCTTCTGCCTGACGGAAGACGTTGTAGGAGATCATTACTGGGGCGTGATGGGTCTTTGATAATGTTGGCAGCATTTCAGGACATTGAGCCGTGTAAATAGAGTCATGGATGGAAGGTTGGCTTCCACGATGGTCAGGGCTGTGCACACCACCTTCCGTAGTTTCTTATGGTCCTGGGCAGAGCAGTTGCCATACCAGGCCGTATGCACCCAGGCAGTATGCTTTCAATGGTGCATCTGTTGAAGTTGGTGAAGGACCTTATAGACATGCCGAATTTCCTGAGCTGCCGGAGGAAGAAGAGGTGTTGTTATGCCTTCTTGACTGTCAAATTTATATGGAAAGTCCAGGATAGGTTGTCTATTGTTGTCACTTTGAGGAACATGATGCTCTTCACTCTCTCAACCTCAGTTCCTATGATGTAGTTGGGGGCATGTTCTCCTCCTTTCTTTCTGAAGTCAATGATCAGTTCTTCAGTTTTGCCGACGTTGAGAGACAGATTGTTTTCATTGCACCACGTCACCAAGCCTTCTATCTCCCTTCTGTAGTTTGACTCGTCGTTGTTGTATAACCGTCCCACTACGGTGGTGTCATCAGCGAACTTGTAGATGGCAGCACAGTCGTAGGTGTAAAGGGAGTGTGGTAGGAGGCTGAGGACGCATCCTTGGTGGGGTTCCAGTGTTGCGTGTTATTATGAAGGAGGTGCAGTTACCTATCCTCATCAACTGCGGCTTGTAGACCTTGATTTGTCAGAGTTTTCCGCAGGGAACATGGCAGGGATTGGCAGTCTCCATAACACTACCCTCAGTGAACGAAAGTGCACTACGTACACAATTGCGGCTTGGTTTCTTGCTGGAATGCAAGACAACAAGCTTTGATTTTTTTTTGTCTCTTCATACCATTAGATTCTGTTACACAAGGAAATTAATTGTTAGGTCATTTATAACACAAGCAGCATTTGAGTGGAGTTGCTCAGCTCTCTCCGAATAAGGTATATAAGCCCAATGTCAGAGTAGAAGCCCTACAGCAGCTTCTCAGCACTTCCATTTCTGATCCCAGTCACCCACGAGTCAGACTGACAAGTTAATATCAACTGATGCTTAATAGAGATTATAACTCTACAAGTATGGGCAAGTACCACCAACTGGACTCAAACTCATTGCAAATTCCACCTTTAGAAGTAACAAAGCAAGCTGGAAAGTAAGTGTGCAAGCTTACTCATGGAACCCCTGACTGGAACAACATTTCAGATTTCCCATGGAAATGAAATCTATAATGCAAGCCCAACAGATCTACACTGTTTCACAACTGAATAGCACGTACATTGAAAGTTACTTTCCCTTACCTTATTTGTCCTTCTTCATCAGAAGGGTATGCCAAAAGTAGCAGTCCTATGTTAATTATGACATGGTTGGTTATAGGGCACACCTTGAAACAGAAATAGATCACTATCATACTGATGTTAATGACAGTCCCAAAATCCAAGGAAGCAAGAATTCAGTGCACTGCACTTAGTCTATAATCAGTTGGGTCTATGGGCAAACCTCTCCAATATGCCATAGACAACCTTTTAAGAAGTCAGTATAAAGGTGTCCAGAAGACAATTTAATAGAAAAGGGACAAAGTGAAGGAGGACGATCTGTGGTAAGCAGCTAGGCAATTAGGCAAAAGTATTATCTATCCCTGTAAAAGTTTGTGTTCTTAAGTTGAGCTCCTGAAGTCCCTGAGAACAGGTTAGCAGAAATCAGGCACTCACCTCCTCTATGAGGGGATGAACTGGAATCTGAGACATTCCTGTCCACTCAGACTAGCCCTTAGAATGTGTGCGCGCGCCTGTGTGGTGTGTGCATCTGTGTAGTTGGGGGCAAGGTTGCTGCTTAAAAACAAGACAAAGGAAATGCTAGGACTTGAAGAAAAAATTGACCTTATGAGTTTCCAACATCTGCTGTACTAAAATCGAACTACTGATCAGTAACACTACAGTCCTCAAAACGCAAACTTATTGAGCCTTGACATCTTTTCAAATTTATTGCACTGGAAGAAATCCATCCAGCGTCTAGTTTCCTCCTTATTTAGATCAATTAAAGTAACAGACCAAGTTACCCCCAAAGTCTGTCCGTCAATCCATAAACTCAGCACATGAAGAATTACCATGAAGCCATGTCCTAGCCCCATCCCATTCCAGGCTATCCCAAAACACACTGCCTAACCAGTCTAAATTCACTTACCTCTAGAATGACAATATCATAGTCACTGAAGGAACAGTATCGCTTTGACCAGGATGCATCATTCCTTATAATCTCATTAATGACATATTCAAAATCGAGTGTCAGCTGCTCCACAGTGAGGTACTTGCCCTGGAAATTCACAAGATATAGGAGATGGGTTGCCAGGGAACAAAGAAAGGTCAAGCATAAGATAGTCACGTATCGGTCTTAGCCACGTGTCTCATTAAAGAGATCGCTCTCATGGAAATGTAAAGTGGTAAATATAAATCCATCCTTCCATCCCACTCTCCCCTCTCAGGAGGGCAGCTGTGATAATACAGTTGGTGAGAGCAACACATACAAAAACACACTCATGCCAGACTGCAATAGCTGTGCCTCACTGGATAGCCCATGGGTTCAAGTTCCACTCCCAAGACTTGAGCACAAGAAATGCAGGCTGATGATTCCAGTTCTACACTAATAGACTGCCATATACCTATCTGTAAAGACTTACAAATTCTATGCAACACAATTTAATTATTCACAATAATGTGTCCACCAACACAGCATATTTACCATTTTTTTAAAGCGCAAACTCTACCCAGCCAAGAATGCCCTCAGCTACTTTTCATCAAAAAGACAGGAATAAAAACTTGGGGCCATAATACTGACATCCAGAAACAGCCAGTAATAAAGACCATCTAGTTTAGAGCTGTGCATGTTACAGTGCAATATTGTCATTACTGTATTGAATGCTGATACTTCAGAAATTTACAAAAGAAATGTACAGACTAAAATACTCAACGTCCTGTGATAGCTGTTAGGTTCCCTGCTGATAGTACTTCTACACAAGTCAGATTCTGGACTGAAATTTGGTCTGATAGATCATTTTTTAAAAATATTAATACGATGGTCATTCACCAAAAATCTCATGAATCTGAAGAGTTTCTTTAAAAACAGAAGTTTATTACACAAAAGACAGAGACAAAGAAAACAAACTAAGCTATCTAGATACAGTTTGCAATTAGAAAAGTCTTAAAATACCCAGCAAAGCAAAGATTTATGCTGTTTTCCAACATAATCCATTACAGAGACTCAAATCTGGAGAAATTAGCCCTCTATATCAAAACTCTAGTTCAACGTAAACAAAAACTATTTTTGCTTCTGACTCTGGTCTGGTTTCCACTGAGGAGTCCAGAAAGCTTTCAATCTCTGGGCTTGCGAAACGAAAACCAATCCTTGATTATTCTGACACAAAAACAAGCTATTGGCCTTCACTGCCAATGTTGTAAATGACAACAGCAGAAGCAATTTTTCATTAACACTCCAAGGAGGTTCCTATTCTCTCCTCATATTGGATTAAGTCACTGATCCCGAAGGATCGTCTGACGTAGTTATTACTTTAAAAAAAAAAGTCCACAAAACTTTAACCAATCTGTACGCTATTATTTTAAAATCCAAATAAACACTAAACAAAATCTATTTACATTAATCACACACTTCTCATCACAACAACAATTCAAATTATTCCCATCAGGACCACTGATGAACAAAGGACCAGTATCTCGCTGTTGAGAAGGCAAAAGACCATCTTCAAACAGATCTGCAAGACTGAAATCTTAAAAACTTTCACTGCTGGGCTCGTTTACATTTCAGTATTACACATCCCATTGTTATCATCATTGTGACAATACATCAGGTTGCTGGACAGTACCTGCAACTAGAACTTGCGGTTGTTCACCACTTAGTAAGGTACTGCTCTAGCAGTCCTGTACCCTTTGTACTCAGCAAGGATTATGTTGCACTTTGGTTAAGTTACCTGATACAAAGCACTTTCTTTAACAGGTTTCAGATTCCTTCCCCTCAAGTCAGTCACTACAAAATGCAGTGAAATCTTATCATCATATCCTGTGAAAAACAAAATCTGTTTTAGTCTCCCGTCAACAAGTTCCTCTGATAGCAAACATATTATTAACAGTTGCAAGATTAAACAAATCCTTTGAGATCCTCAAATCACACAATTAGGTGAACCTTTTCTTCACATAAACAGGGCCACAATTCCTCAATTTAATCCATTGATTTAAAGCTGTGCAAATATTAATGTCACAATAACGCAAACGAGCTAAGTTACACCTGATTATTGCATCAGTATCATAATATGGAAGATCAGCCAACAACAGAAGAAGCTAGCCGAATGCACTGTCAGTGCTGTACTGTGATGGGAATGAAAGCACAGACACTAGTAAGAACATGCTGCTCAGGCAGCTTGAAGATGGAAGTGAAAATCACTGTAGTTAACAGATGGTAGGCTTGCAAAGTTTACCCTTTCACTGCTTGAGTAAAGTGAAAGTGGAACTAAATGGTAATTTTGGTGCACATTACTCTTGGTGTGGATATGTTTAATATTTAAGGGAGGGAGAAGTTAGTTCCAACTAAAACTGAACAGAAACGCACTCTGTTCCCACCCAACTGTAGCTGAGCAAATTATTAGGGAAGACAATAGTCTAGTGGTATTATTCCTGGGTTGGTAATCCAGAGACCCAGGTAACGTTCTGGGGACCTGGGTTCAAATCCCGCTATGGCAGATGGTGGAATTTGAATTCAGTAAAAATCTGGAATGAAGAGTCTAATGATGTCCGTGTATTGATTGTTGCAAATGAAAGAGAGGGTGAAAATTCTAGCTTTTCAAGTGCAGGCTGTAGTTAAATTCCAACTACTGCTCAGGAGAAATGGACAGTGATTGTTAAGTGGGTTTAGTGTATCTCACCACAGTTCCTGATAGGCACAAAACTGTCCCTAACTGAACAAGCTACTGCTGCAGCAGGAGTGTTCTTGTTCCGCTTCCAACATGTTGCTGAGCAACACTCATTCTGAGCTGCTTAAGCACACAGTAACTGAGAACATGCTGTGTAGGGAACAAGCAGGCTGCACACAAGTAACATTCCCTTTAAAGGGTACACGTGTGCAAGCCTGTGACCACATGGGTATGGGACCATGCAGTGTAAAAAGCTGGCCGCTCATGACAAGCAGAAGTTAGAGAGCATTGCTTAATAATTCTGCAATTACTTGAAGTTGTCCTTTGGTCACTGACATGTCCCAATCTCCAGCACCTCAATCAACATAAAAACTACAGAATTTCAAAAGAAAACAGTAAAAAAGAACAGATCTGGAATGTTGTGTGGAGCTGGAGGAACATAGCAGGCCAGGCAGCACCAGAGGAGCAGGAAAGTTGACGTTTTGGGTAGGGGCCCTTCTTCAGAAAAGCTCAACTTTCCTGCTCCTCTGATGCTGCCTGGCCTGCTGTGTTCCTCCAGCTCCGCTCTGTGTTATCTCTGACTCCAGCATCTGTAGTTCTTACTATCTCTGAGATCTGGAATGTTGGCATTTAATGACAGAGGACGCTAGACTTTGCAGAGTGGGAATTCAGCTGAAGGATTTAACCAGCAACCGGATTTGCGAAAGTGTGGTTTACGCAACCCCTGTAAAAAAAGAAGCTTTTCATATTCCATCAGGCTTCTTCGTGAATGAAGAACTTTACTGGCAATTATTGCTGTAGGGAAACATGGTCATTGACCTATACATTGCAAGATCTCAAACTCCAGGAGCTGATTGGCCAGATTCTGTTTAGATCATACTCAAGAAGTTCCATCATGAAGTCACAGGGCACTCCTCAGCTTTACTGACTGGCAGTGCTGTAGGATCTCACACATCCCCTAAACATGCAGAACAGATCTTGGTTAACTGTCTCATTAGAAGGGCAGCACGTCTGTCAATAAGGGATGACCGCAGTACCATGCTGAGAAGTGTGTGCTCAAGATTCTGGAGTGAGACTTCAACACACTGCATTCTGGTTCAGGAAGGAGTGACACTCACTAAACCATGGCCATATTCAAATGAAAGAATTGGGAGTTGTTTGTATTAGTGCTCACAATTACCAAAAGGCAACCTTGTTGATTTCAAGCACCATCCAATACCAATGCCAGAGTGTCGTGGGCAAAGAACTGGGAGCAGGTTCTCTGTTGACTCATCATTTTGAGACAGTGAGCACATCACCGGGGAAAATTCTCACATAGGCCTTCTGACAAGGAAAGCAGGGAAGACTGGCGGAGTACCACAAGGTTATTGCAAATTAATAAGGTAAACAGTCTCCTGACAACCAAAAAAAGGGAGGCATAAATAATATCTTAGCACTCCTACTTAACTCACCATCATCATCATCTGCAGCCATGCCAGAAGGCTCCAGAACATAATGCAGCTTTATATAGTTCACGTACCCAGGCTCTGTTTGTGCAGTTTCATGGTGTTGGCTGGTAGTATTGTTCATTGTACCTGACTCACACTGAATCAACTCACTTGCCATTTCAGTCTTCAGTTCAGCAGCAGACAATACACCGTTACCCAGTGCAGGATTCCCTTGTGTAATACAAGCACAGCCTAGTAACTGTGAATGTGAATGTTCAGAGTTCAAAGCAGAGTCAGAGGTGTCTGCAACACAACTGGAACACTGAATCTCTGACTTTGCTTTAGAAGAACAAGAGGAGAGTGTGAAATCGGACATCTCATTTCTCTGCGTATTAAGGACCTCGTGACAGTCATCTGTGGTTATCCCTTGTAGAACACCTTCCTTTGGTTTGGACTCAGCTTGGCTTAAACTACCCAATGCCTCCATGGTGCTCGTGGCAGCTCTGGCTCGCCTAAAAATGTCAGCTGCAAACTCCTTCGCTTTACCGGCGGCAGAGGATCGGTCACCGTGGGAAGCATTACACGCTGCCAGTTCACCATGCTTCGAGCTTTTCAATTCCCAGCTCAGCATTTCTTCAGGACAGTACTCAGTGCGCACACAGCTATTAGTGTCAGCTTTGTGTGGGACGCAGTTTGGCCCTCCGTCACTGGATGAAGGATGATTTATACCTTTACACTGATGATAATTTGACATGACACCATCCATTACTGGCAACATAAGACTAGGATCTAGCTCAGAATGATGTGGAGGTGCAGTGTTTTCATTACTCTTACTGTACAGAATTTGCCCTTTCTCATCTGAAACACAGAAAACCAAGACAGCAGAACAGTTGTCAAATAAATCTGAAATGAACATCCGGTTAAAATAGTGCATAAACTTTGCTATAAAAACACAGGTGATCTCCTGAACTGGTACCAATCACCAAATAGGTATCTCTGTAATCCTGTGTTTCCTGCTGGTTATTTTGCCTCTATCAATGGCTAAAAGGATAGGAAGCATTTTGTCGTGGCATTTCAGCCAGAATATAAAGCAGACTTGATGAGCCAGTGGGTCTTTTGCTTCCCGTTATTTTCATTAATCAGGTAAATTTCACCAACATTGCGGAGTTACATGACTTCAGCTGTATATGGCAGCTAAGGCATAACAATCAATCACAGTGGCCTCAGGTTAGACAGGGGAAAGCCAATGACTCTGATGGAATTCTTTGCATATGAATCACAGTATCCTACAATCACACAATCCCTACAGTGTGGAAAGAGGCCATTCGGCCCAACAGGTTCACACTGACCCTCAGAAGAGCATCCCACCCAGACTCATCCACCTTCTGTATCCCTGTAACTTTGCATTTCCCATGGCTAATTCATCTAACCTATGTATCCCTAGACACTATGGGCAATTTAGCAGGGCCAATCCACCCTAACCTGCACATCTTTGGACTGTGGGAGGAAGCCGGAGCACCCAGAGGAAACCCACGCAGACACGGGGAGAAGGTGCAAACTCCACACAGACAGTCACCCGAGGCTGGAATCGTACCCATGGTCCTGGCACTGTGAGGCAGCAGCACTAACCACTGAGACACCATACCACCCCGTGTGGATGGACCAGAGTAAGGACATGACTGGGGACAGGTACAATGTCCAAAATGACCCAGATGGTATTTATACCCAGATTCTAAGAGTGACCATAAAGAAATTTTACAAAGTATTGATGGAGTATAGCACAGAGGTATCTGTACATTTAAAAACAAGTGATTGTCGCTCTCATGATAAAAAGCAAAAATCTTTACACTTATAGCATACCTTTCACAAGTTTAGGACATCACAAAACATCCTAGAGCCACTGTGATTGATTGTTATGCCTTAGCTGCCATATCCAGCTGAAGTCATGTAACTCCGCAATGTTGGTGAAATTTACCTGATTGATGAAAATAACGGGAAGCAAAAGACCCACTGGCTCATCAAGTCTGCTTTATATTCTGGCTGAAATGCCACGACAAAATGCTTCCTATCCTTTTGAGTTGCAATTGCTATTCTACTGTAGGAAGTACAGCAGGACGTTTGTGCAGAGTGAGCTCCCACAACCAGCAACGTGATAAAAATGACAAAATGATCATTCTTTTAAATGTGATGTTGACTGTTGGATTAAGGTCTTCCAATAATACCATAAGATCTGAGAAAGCATCTGAATACCTCATCCAAAAGTTGGCACCTCGAACATGACTTAGTGGAGTGGGTGTGTCACCTTAGATCTTGCACTCAGGTCTCGGGGTGGGATTTGATCCTATGATCATCCAAAGTGTTGGCAATGAGTCACAGCTGACCCTTAAGTAGATGCCCAGACACAGCAGTGCAAATGGAAACCAACAGGCTGCTTCAATGAATGGAAAGGGATATTTCTGCCTGAATGAAAATAACTTGGATCCTCTTCTGCACCTGTAACTAGCTCATTCATACATACTGTCCAGGTTCCTAAATGAACAATTATGGCATACCTGTTGTGTTTACAGATATGGCACAAGCCACCAGAGAGTAGCTGGTGTTGAGTAACACCACTCCATCTTTCTTGAGCTGAAAGGCAGGCTGAAATGTGGGGAAGGGATACACCACCTGGTACTTTGTGTGAAGCATGAAGCCATGCTGTAGACAGTAGGCATTCTGCTCATCTGTAAAACACATAATAACATGTTAGGTTTGGGCAGAGTGACGTAACATAGCTTTAACAGATATCCTATTGGGAGGAAAAAGTCTTTCTTCATACCTGCATTAAGCAAAGCCATGTCCTTGCAGTCAGGACAGAATGCAAATGGCGGTGTAGCAACTGTTGTAATATAAATATCTCGATCGTTCTCATCACTCATCACCATGTTTATCAGCAGATCATTCACTGAACGGATGCTGGATTAAAAGGAAACCAAATTTTGTTTTCATATAATGGGATGAAAACATTATACGGTACATTAAAAAAAAATTGCTGGAGGAAGGACAAAGACTCCAGCCATACTCCTCCTGACCCTACACCTAACACTCATAACAAACAAATCAGTCAGCCACAGATCTCTGGAAGTCTATGGTAAAGGATAAAACAGAAAAGGAGAAAAAGATAAACTTTACAAAATATCCCAGAACAACAGGATTCCACAAAAAGGAAACAATAGGTTAATCTGTCTTGGATTCGTTGTTTTAGGAAGAAAATTGACTATGGCACAGCAGTAACTCCCTCCTTTAAATAGCATTAAATGCATCAGCGTCAAGGTAGGAACATCAACTGCACAAATATCATTTCCACTGAAAATGCAGTCAGGTCCAAGTACCATGTCTCAGGAAGGATACATTGACCTTGAAGGGGATGCAGAGGGCTGAGATTCATCAGAATGAGAACACGGCTAGAAGGTTAATCAAGCCCATAACAAGGAGGCACCACCTTAAAATCTGAGGCAGGCTGTTCTGCGTGATGTTAATTCACACAGACAGTCGTGGGAATCTGGAACTTGCTCCCACCTAGAAAGCGGTCACGACTGAGGGTCAATTGAAAGTTTAAAACTAGAGAGTGATAATTTTCTAGCAGGCATGGAACAGTCAATCAAGACAGGTAGACAGAGCGAATACAAATTAGCCAGGATCTAAATGAATAACAGGTCAAGCTGGACAGGCTGAAGGACCTCCTAAATGTTGCCATGAATACTCACTTGAACCCAAATACGATAAGCTTTGAGGGATCGCTTGGCCATTCACACACTGTGAGATACAAGTCGCTGTACACTTCCTGATCTTTGAAAAGGTGCACTTGCCTCACCTAAAGTTCAACAACAAAAATTATTTTAAAAATATTTGTGTTTCTTGTATAGTTGAGCACTCCAGAATGGTGACTATGTTTCTAAACTGAGTATGCAGTTAAACATAGCAAGCACATATGCACAGGGACATGAGCAGGATAAGCTCGTGGACAAGATGCAATGTGTGTGAGATATGCAAGAAGTATCATGGCCAATAGTAAGTCTGCCCCTAGCAACATGATTTTAAATAGGTAGTGGTTATGGATTTAGCGGCATGAGATGAAGAAAAAAATACATTTTCATTTTACATTTTGAAAATCTGGCAACCAGGTGTTGTTTTTCAACAATAATACATAGTAAAGATGGGAAAATAACTTGGATATGGTATTGAAAACTGAATGGCGATTTGGCTTGGGCCACCGACAAAATTTCACACCAACAATGAGTGACAGGAGATTGCTAACCCACAAACTGGGAAATGCATGTGCAAATATGAACATAATAGTTCTGACTACAGCAGGAGAAAGCCCTTTCAGCAATGGGGTATGTGAAAGGAACTACGCAGTAATAAATGGTTAAAATTTGGCAGATCAGCCAAACTATAAACTATCAGCTGCACTAGTGTTGACTGTCCATGCTAAGAATTTGCTGTAGATGGTTCCAGGATACAGTCTATATCAGTTAGTTTTTGGCAGGAATTCTGAAGTTCCTTCAGCAATAAGGAATCAGTCCCCAGCTTGGGGAGGGTCTAAAAGTAGATTGACTTTTATAGAGTGTTTGAATGCACTGTATGCAGACAGAAAGGCTTTCATTGAAGCTGAAGTCTCAAAGAATTTGGCACATTTGAAGACAGAAAGAAAGGCTATAAGAAACCAGTTTCAACCAGGGAGATAAGGTTTATTATACAGGAGAGGGTCTTAAAGAATGGAGAGCACTGTAGATTATTGGTAAAGGCAAAAAAAAACTGTACAGCCTGCAAATCAGACTATTCAGGTACACTCTTCAGCGTTGCTTGGTGTGGATTGCAGATTTGCATAATCTGAAGGAGTTACAGAAAATAATGAGGCGACAACTACCTCTCTCAGCTGACGACTGCACACCAAATGGATCAAACTGCTGCAACTGACTGTTTGCCCGAAGACAGACAGTTCTGTTCTGATCATTAATGATACCATTGGTCCCAAAGGACACCTGCCAAAATTAACTACTAAAGTCAAATATTTATCAGAGGGAGGCTAGTCAATGGGGAAATGTGACTATTACAAGAGCAGAAATGGCCACTGTAAAATGTAAAAGTTGGATGAGGGGCAGGAGGTTAGGTCCGTGGATTGCAAACATGAAGTACAAAGTTGGAAGGCGAGAAAATGCATTGTAAGCTCAAACACTGGGACCAGGAGTGAACATGCCCTTTCAAAGAGATTATGAAGATAAGAAAGAAATGTTATTAATAAGAAGGATGATCAAATAGTAGCAATCCAAAAAGAGACAGAATGTAAGACAGAGGGCGTAGTTTAACAAGGACAAAATTGATTGCACAAACCGGGAATACCACCAGGAACAGAAGCCCATGGGATCAGGAAGTCTTGATGCCCTCCGGCAAACCAACAAGACAAGTTAAAACAATGCCGGAGAAAACATTTCCAAACTGACATGGGTGGATAACAGCAGTCATCTATCTAATTGTATTAGGGTTTGTTCATTTCTTTCTAAAGTGCTGTTATGTATACTGGAAAAAGGACACCTGAAACTTTGATAAGCGGTGATAAAAAGAAACATAATAGGTTGTCATTTTGCATGTCTTGTTAATGTTAAATATTGATTTATTTAAGAAGTAACAGGAATCTCTTTTATTCCCTTTATGTCCCATCTGACCCTCAAATCTGTCTCTCTTTTTCCTTTCTGTTTTTGAAGATATTCTCTTTTAGCCAAACTTCATCATTTCTATTAATACCTTCTTAGGTGATTTAGTGTCAAACTTGTTTGATATTTGCTTGTGAAACATCTTGAACTTCTAATATTTTAATGGCACTCTAAGTCATTATTGAGAAGCTAAAATTGATTAACACAAAACCAACAGATACAGAAAGTGGACAATATCAATACGGATGAGTTCAGCACTGGAGTTTAGAGCACTTTATTTACAAGGGAACCTTTGTTACACACCTTTTTCAACTTGTCATGAATGTTGAACTTCCACCAGTACAAGTAATACACATAGTATGGTAATTCGTCAATATCCTGCTCTGGTACATCCCGAGTATAGGACAGCACATACCGACCACATTTTGTAAAGCCAAGGAATATGTGACTGAGGTAAGGGAAGGAGAAAAGGGACATGGAGATAGATTAAACTAAACAAAGTAAAAATGAAAGTTACAATTCCTGATTAATAGAGATGAGATTTTCAGGCATGTGAAGTCCAAGAAAACAGTCAGACACTTACGAAATCTACTTGTTAAATTCTAGCACCAATTTTTGGGCGTGCCTCTGCCTCACCTGAAAGCATTGGTTGTTTGCTCAGGTACAGCTCCACACAGTCGACCTTTGGTTACTTTTCTCATGAGTTGCAGGAAGGAACACACTTTCTCCATTCACCTTTACTTGACAAGTTTCATTGAGTTATTTTGTGTGTGTGCGTATATATAAATATATGATATATATATATCACATATATATATGTACGTGTGTGGGGGCGTATGCTTATTGTCAGTGCATGCATTTTTTTTGGGAGAGTGTAGCTGCTAGTGGATCACAGTTGAATCATAGAATTATAGAATCATAGAATCCCTACAGTGTAGAAACAGGCCTTTCGGCCCAACAAGTCCACACCGAACCTCAGAGCATCCCACCCACCCCTATAACTCAACTAAGCTACACCTCCCTGAACACTACAGGCAATTTAGCATGGCCAATTCACCTAACCTGCACATCTTTGAACTGTGGGAGGAAACCGGAGCACCCGGAGGAAACCCACGCAGACACGGGGAGAATGTGTAAACTCCACACAGACAGTCACCCGACGCTGTAATCGAACCCAGATTCCCGGCGCTGTGAGGCAGCAGTGCTAACCACTGTACCACCGTGCTGCCGTTCTGAAACTGGCCTCGTCCTCATTCAGTGTAAAGTTCATCTACATCCTATAGTAGTCATTGTATTGTACATTTGGAAAAATAATTATTTTTCTCTGTCTAATATCAGGGACCTGAGCTCTATTCCAGCTTAAGTACTTCTGCCCAACCAAGATCAGCTCACTCAGTACAGACCAGGAACTGAAACTGGCATCTTCCTGATATGTGAGGCTTGCTCGATCAGGTCAACCATTATATAATGAATAGCAGAATAGGTTTGAGGGGCTGAATAGCGTCCCTCTTTTCCCACTTACCCACTAGCTAAATTCAAACATATCTACATACAAGTAACTGAGTTAAGTTGCATAAGTAGGTGGTCAAAGTTCAAATCCAACAGTCCTGAGAATGTGCAATAAGCTCCCAGGAGATTGTAGCCCTGCCATAAACACAGTGAGAGAAACTACATGCTGAACTGTTGCCTGTCACTGACCCAGTGAGTGCAGTTTTGTACAGATTTGAGGTGAAATCTGAAATTGGAACATTACATGTTACCATTATGAAACAGTCTGCAATTTTAGTGGAGCACCCCAGCAAGGGAAAACCATTCTGTTCAGAAACTATTGTACCACAGAGACAGACAGCAAAAAAAAAATTGATGTTAAGATCCAAATACTGGAGAGTTTGTTCAATCTCCACATGTTGCCTGGGGCTATTCATTATGCCGTGAGATTCTAGAGCGAAACAAATTTATTTGTCTGAAAAATCATTTCTCCTTGGGCAGAAGCCTGTTTAAAATTAAGGGTTAGTGCCTCCATTGAATGGTACAATGTTGCAGATGAATACATTGGTATCTCACAGAATAATGACAAGAGCCTGGGGCCTTGCATTCTCCTCAAGTCAAGTCAAGTCAATGAATGACACAAACTGTTCTTACCATATACAAGAAAGGTTCGAATAGCTTAAATGAAAATATCTTAGCAAATAGTTTACGTACCCAGCTAGTAAAAAATCATCATCCACAATATTCTTCAGGGGAACACAAAGAATGGGAGGCAAATTTTGGAACATTCGGTGCGAGAATTGGCCAGTTATCTGTCAAAGAAAGAAAATGGTACATCTATTTGTTGTCATTAGAACATGACAATTGGTACTCCTTTGGACAAGGACTGGATTCAAGTGGCTTGATATCTTACCTGTGATTTCACATAGTCCTTCACCTAACCCAATTGGATAACAAGATGCTGGGTAAAAGAAAACGTAACCCAGTTAAACTGGGACTAGGAACCCAATGTCCACTCATTTCTCATCACGACACTGCCCTATTAGAGTCAAAGAGTCAGAGTAACACAGCATGGAAACAGGGCCTTCAGCCCAAACTGGTCCATGCTGACCATGGTGCCCACTCAGCTAGTTCCAATTGCCCGCATTTGGTCCATGTCCCTCTAAACCCTTCGAATCCATATACCTATCCAAATGTTTTTAGATGTTGCTATTGTACCTGCCTTAACCACTTTCTCTGGCAGCCCATTCCATATAAGTACCACTCTCTGCATGAAGCAGTTGCTGCTCAGGTTCTTCTTAAATCTATCCCCTCTAACGTTAAACCTATGCCCTTTGGTTTTCAATTCCCCATCTCTGGGAAAACAACTATATCATTCGTCCTATCTAAGTCCTTCGTGAGTTTATACACTTCAATAACCTGACCCATCATTCTCCTACATTCCAAGGAATAAAGTCCTATCATGGCCAACCTCTCCCTATAACTCATGCCTGCTAGGCTGGTAACGTCCTCATAAATCTTCTTTGCACACTTTCCAACTTAACTATGTCTTTCCTATAACAGGGTGACCAAAACTGTACACAATACTCCAAGTGCGGCCTCACCAAAGAATTATACAACTGTAACATAATGAACCAACTCCTATACTCAATGCCCTGACCGATGAAGGCCAGTATGCTAAACACCTTCTTCCCCACCCCGTCTACCTGTGAGGCAGCTTTCTATGAACTATGTATTTGTACTCCTAGGTCTCTCTGTTCCACAACACTTCTCAGAACCTTAGCATTTACTGTATAAGTCCTACCTTGGTTTGACTTCCCAAAATGCAATACCTCACACTTATCTGTATGGAATTGCATTTGCCAATCCTCAGCCCACTTCTCCATCTGATCAACATCCTTCTGTAATTTTTTTATGACCTTCCTCATGATCAACGATACCTCTTAATTTTGTATCATCCACAAACTTACTAATCATGCCTTATACATTCACACCCAGATCATTTATGTAAATCACAAATAACGAAGGTCCCAGCACCAACCCCTGTGGCACACCATTAGTGACAGGCCTCGAGCCCTACATACAACCTTCAACCATCACCCTCTGCTTCCTACCATCAAGCTAATTTTGAATCCAATTAGCCAGCTCTCCCTGGATCCCATGTGACCTAACCTTCATGACTAGCCTGCCATGCGGAGCTTGTCAAAAGCCTTACTAAAGTCCATATAGAGAACATCCACTGCCCTACCCTCATCTATCCTCTTGGTTATCCCTTTGAAAAACAAAGATTTGTCAGACATGACTTCCCGCGCACAAATCCATGCTGACTATCCCCAATCAGACCTTGACTGTCCAAATGTTGGTTGATCCTGTCCCTCGGTATCCTCTCTAATAACTTGCCTGCCACTGATGTCAGGCTCACTGGCCTGTAGTTCCCTGGCTTGTCTTTGCTACCTTTCTTAAACAATGGAACAACATTAGCCATCCTCCAGAACTTCACCGGTGGTTAAAGGTGAAGCAAAAATCTCTGCAATTTCTTTCCTAGCCTCCCACAATGTATTCTAGGACAAACAGGAGAAAACAGAAATGATCAGGAAGATTCTATCAGACCAAACGAACTTGTTGGAACTTCTAAGCTCAGCTTTTAATTAATAAATTTAATCAGTGCAAGTATGAGCCTCTAGAGCATCCTGATAATGTCACGAGTAATTCCCTGCTGCAAAGTCAGTGTTATAATATATAATACCTGGTTATGAAACAAGTTCCTTCATAGTACATGTGTTCATTAAAACCTGGATCCAGAATCAATAGAAGCCTCTGATGCATTTATCAGAATAGAAAAAAAGCTTGGAGCAAATCATGCCCTACATGAATGGCACCTAAATTGCAACTCCTCACGCTCAAATAGGTCTGGAGAAGTTTGCTAATTTAAAAAATATTTTTATTAAGCTAAATTTCCTTTTGACAGGTTAAAGTTCTGCATTTATTAAAATTTAAACCGACTGGTAATCGAGAGAAAACCACCAATAAGATGACTGGATGGGAAAATAAAATGATAAGGCAAGTCCACATTTCTCTTTTTTACAATTTATTCAGAGAATAAATGAGGGTGTCACTGGCTGGGAAAACATCTATTGCACAGCCCTAGTTGCCTTTCAGAAGTTGCAAGCTGCTTTCTCAAACTTCTGCAGTCCTTGGGGTGGAGGGACACCTACAGTTAGGAAGGGAGTTCTAGGATTTTGATTCAGCGATGATGAAGAACAGGCAAAATATTTCCAAGAGATAGTGAGTGGTTTTTTTTGGGGGGTGGCGGTGGCAGATACTTGCAGGTGGTACAGCACCATGCATCTGCTGCCCACCTCCGTCTGGCTGCTTGGAGTTGTGGATTTAAAAGATATCATTAAAACAGCCTTGGTGAATTTCTGCAGGGCATCTCTATACTGTATTTCACAACTACTGGGATATCCCAAAGCATTTCACAACCAATGCAGTTATTTTGAAATGTAATCACTGCATTAGGAAACAGAAACCAAAATGGGCAGACAGCCAGATTCCACAAATACTTTTACATGCATGCAGCATTATGCAGCTATGGACAGTGATGGTAGAGCCTCCAATTTCTTTGCAGCACCTGGGTGACCAGGAAACTCTCCACCCCTAACACATGCCACGTGTTAGAAGGATTTACAGATTGAAAGTCAACCAGTTTGGCCACATTATGAACACACCTTTCTTGATCGTCTATCTTGGAGTGGGACTTAAACCCGGAGTGGGGAGGGGGCACGCAACCAAGACTTTTCACTCAAAAACTACCCAAACTCATTTTGAAAAAGAATGGACTTAAAACCCTGGTTCCAGAGGTGAACCACTATTATCTCATCCACTGCATCATTCAGTGCCAAATACTTGCACGGCTGTAGCAGGTTACGCAGTGATTTCAACCATACTACAAATTCAACATCCCATTAACAGTGACTCAAATATATGTGGTACAGGCTAAGGGAAAACCACTGATATGATGAGAGCACCTCGTGTTTGTACTGTAGCATCAGCATGAATCAGCAAGCAAGGCCTGGGTTCAACATGTCCTGTGCAAGATGACACTTTGACAATGTGGCACTCCCTTGGTAGTACCATTAAGTATTATTAGCCAATTTAAATTGTGTAGTTATGACCTGATCCAAAAAATACTTTCCAGTTCAGACCCCAACCAATGGAGACACGCTGATGAGGAGGATATGATGAGGCAATGATCACAGGATTATTAATTAACTTATTTATAGCACCTCCTCTTACTGCTGCTTACAAGGTACACAGTGCTGGAAATACTTAAGGCATATTCTACTCATGATACTTAATAAATCAATTTTCTTTGCTTCAATTCAGAGACACTCTCTATTTATGACAGTCTACAGCACAGAAACAGGCTGTTTGGTCCACATCAATGTGCATGCTTCACACAAATCTCGTCTCAGCTCAACAGCATATTCTTTTCTTCCTCAGGTGTTTACCATTTTCTATTTCAATAGACATACGTTAATGTTTCAGTTACTCCCTGTGAAGTTGAGTTGAAATGCCTTGCACTAACTGAAATGAGCCAAATCGTTCTTCAGATTCTGAATGCAATCCAGCCAACTATCACCCTGTCAGTCTACTGTCAACCAAAAAAGTGCTACAAGAGGTCATCAACAAGAGGTCATTAAGCAGCATTCACTCTGCAATAACCTACCCACTTATGTTCATGCTCCTGGCCTCATAACCACCTTGGCCTAAACATGAACAAAAGAGCTGAACTTAAGAGGTGATATGAGTGATTGACTTGTCATCCAGGCAGCTTTTGACAGAGTGTGCCTTTAAGCTTGGAGTCAATGGAAATTGGTTTGATTTTGATATGGTTTATTGTAGTCACATGTACCTAAGCACAGTGAAAAGTTCTGTTTTTACGAACAATACAGGCAGATCATAACCAAACAAGGACACAGACAGAACGAGGCTTATGAGGTGACGATTGTAGAGGAGGTGCACAAAAGCAAGGTCAACATTAGATGTGAAATTAGAGAGGCCCATTCAGCAGTCTATCAACAGTAGAGAAGAAGCTGTACTTGAACCTGTTGGTGAGTGTTCAAGCTCCTGTATCTTCTGCTTGACGGAAGAAGTTGCAAGACAGTGTTACCGGGGTGGGAGAAACCTTTTGATAATGTTGGCAGCCTTTCTGCAGCAACAAGAAATGTATATGGAATCCACAGATGGGAAGCTGGCTTTCGAGATGGTCTGGGCTGTGCACACAACTTTCTATAGTTTCTTATGGTCCTGGGCAGAGCAATTGCCATACCGAGCTGTTATGCACCCAGATAGAATGCTTTCTATGGTACATCTGTAATTGGAGGGGGCATTCTCCAATTGCTGGAATCAAACCTAACAAGGGAAGGTGGCTATGGCTGATGGAGGTCAATTACCTCAGAGTCCCAGGACATCACTGCAGAAATTCCGAAGGGTAGCATCCTAGGCCAAATATTTTCAGTCGCTTTATGACTTTCCTTCCATTATAAAGTCAGGAATAGGTGACAGACATATGTTAGAGACCAGACAGGCTTCCCCCAAAATATATTCTGGAGATAGCCTAGACCCTAACTTTTATTTCAAAGGCAAGTGTAAGGCACTCTGTTCCAGATTCGATTCGATTGGTCCAGTTTTAATGAATTCACACTTTATTCTAACAATGCAATTAAAATGCAACAAAGAATAGGTATAATTTTACTTTACTGACATACTGAACAAGATAATGTATTATTCAACTACTAATCATCAATTGTTCCAACATAGGCAGCATCCCATAAACACACCCTTTGACAAAATGCAATGCAGTAAAACAGTTTTCTGAAATGCTGTCTCAGCAGAAAGAAACACTGAACAAAACAATCTGCCTCTTCTGATTTCTAAGAGGAAAGCTCTGCCTAAATCTTCAATCAAGCAGCAGAGAGAACTCTAGCCATCCCCTCCAGCAGCTAACAAAACAAATCATGTGAAAGCAACATCAAAGCCCTCTGGGTCAATGTGAGCCTGACCCCACCCACTCACAATTCTCTGAAAAAACAACATTCAGGGAGAAACCCAAAGCTGTTTACAAACTGCCTGATGGGAGGAAACATCTCAGCACCACTACGACAAACCACCTCTGCAAGAAAAACAGGTCAGATCATGTCTCTTAAACGCTCAGTACTGTCACAGACAGTGCGCAGTACTATGTGATGCAACTCCTCAGATACCAAAAGAGTCCATGGCCAAACACAGAAAGACTTGGGCAGCACTCAGAATGAACTGGTAAGTAGGAAGTAACATTCGTGCCACAAATGTGCCAAACAACGACCATCCCCAAGACAGAATTTAAACATCTACCCTCAACATTCAATAGCATTATAAATCAATGAAATCCCCCACCATAAGCATCTTTGAGATTACCATTGACCAGAAGTTGAATTGCAGCAGCCATATAAATACAGTGACTACAACAGCAGGTCACAGGCTAAGAATTCTGCGATGAGTAATTCACTTCCTGTCTATCCTCAACAAAGCACAAGTCAGGAGTATGATGAAATACTCTCTCCACTTGCTGGTTGATTGCAGCTCCAACACTCAAGAGGTCAACAGCATCCAGGACAAAGCACCAACCACCACCAATACACAGTGGCAGCATGTGCACTATCTGCAAGATGCACTGCAGCAACTCAAGACGGCACCTTCAAGAGCACCTTCCAAACCTGCACTTCTACTATCTCAAAGGAGAAGAACAAGGGCAGTGGACACACAGGAACGCCACCACCTGCGAGATCCTGTCCAAGCCACACACCGTCCTAATGTAGAGATATATCACCAATATTCACTGTCACTGGTCAAAATCCTGGAACTCCCTTCGTAACAGCATTTTGTACACACCAACAGATGAACTGCAGCAGTTTACTACCAATGTCCTAAGGGGAAATTAGTGATGGATGCCAAATCCAGCAATACACACGTCCCTTTTTTTTAAATTCTGAATTACTAAACACATTGAAGTTTGTGAAAGGACAGGGCATATATGGGAATGTGGGGCTGGGACATTGTAGCTATGACAGAAACTGAGGGAAGGACAAGACTAATTTTAAAGACAAAAGGACTAACACCTCTTAATTATGCAAGCTTAGACCGGATGGACCTTCTAATCCCATCAGGAGTAACAGCCACTTTTAGCAAGTGCTTAAACTGTCACCTGCTCCCCCACGACAGATGTCACGCAAACTTGTGTACAATAGATACATTAAAGTTTTAGCACCATGGTGTCACATAGTTGTATGTAAAAACTGTGTATATAAGATGCTACTGTAAAATGGTACTTTGGATTTTCATTGCTGCCTTGAACTGTGCCATTGCAGATGCTCAATAATGAGGCTATTTTTGCCACTCAACTATCCCACATGTCTCACTAATTTGATTGAGTTTTAAAATGAAGTAACTAAAAAGATTGACAAGGGCAGACCGTTGGATGTTGTTTACTTGGACTTTAGAAAAGCCTTTGACAAGGTTCTGCATGGAAGACTAATTAGTAAAGTTAGATCATATAAGATTAAGGGTGAGCTTGCCAACTGAATACAAAATTTGCTTTATGGTAAGAGACAACGTGACGGTGGAGGGTTGTTTTTCAGACTAGAGGCCTGCGACCAACAGTGTTCCACAGGGATCGGTACAAGGTCCACTTTTGTTAGTCATTTACATAAACAATTTGGATGAGAACATAGGAGGCATGGGTAGTAAATTTGCAGACACCAAAACTGGTGATATAGTGGACAGTGAAGAAGGTTATCTAATATTACAAAGACATCTTGATCAATTGGGTCATTGGGCTAAGGAGTGGCAGATGGAGTTTAATTTGGATAAATGTGTGGTATTGTATTTTAGTAATACAAACAACAACAGGACCTATAATAATTAATGGTAGGGCTCTGGGTAGAGTTGAAGAACAGAGAGTCCCAGGCTGACAGGTACATAATTCTTTGAAATTTGCATCACAGGTTGACAGAGTGGTTAAGAAGGTGTTTACCACACTTGCCTTCTATGCACAGAACTTTGATTATAGGAGCTGGAGGTCTCTTCTGAAGCATTGTGTGGAGTTCTGGTCACTCCATTATAGGAAGGATATTAGTAAACTGGACAGGGTTCAGAAAAGATTTACCAGGACGTTGCTGGGAAAGGAGAATTTGAAAAATAAAGTTAGACTGGAAAGGCTGTGACTATTTTCACTGGAGCATAGGAGGTTGAGGGGCGACCTTATGGAGGTTTATAAAAACATGAGGTGCAGAGGTAAGATGAATCACAAGGATCTTTTCCTTAGGCTGGGGGGAGTTCAAAACTAGGTGGCATATTTTTAAGTTGAGAGGAGAAATATTTAAACGACATGAGGGGCACTGATTTGCAGTTGAAATGAATTGGACCAATTTTATATCACATGATGAGGGTGACCACAGTTTACGGGTGCTCTACAAGATTTGCACCCAACTACAATAAAAATAAAGCATTACAATCAGCCCTGGTCAAGACGTAGTGATTAATTATTCTATTTCGGTGATTTTATTTGAGGATGTTGCTGTGTGGGTGAGAGGGATTGGTTGGGGTTATTTCCACCTCTTTCCCCTCCCCCCCGTCTTACCGAGGGAGGGATTCACCCAGCAAAAGGCACATTTACTGTTAACTGAGCCTGTCCTGCTGCCCCATTCCAGTACCTTCAGCCGGGATAAATTCCTCAGGACATTGCTTTTCTTCCTCGCAGTCGGGCGCTTGTTCCAGCTCGGCGCCATTTTCTTTCCCCTCCCCCACCGCGCAACCCAACCTGCTGGGCACGGCAAGAGCCCGATTCTCATTGGTCACGCTCGCCCACGGTCCGGCCGCTCATTGGTTGATTCCTCATGTCCATCACAGCGGTCGCCAGCGAGTTCGGTTGAGAGGCAGCGCAGCCCTGTTGCTAGGAGAGCGCCCTCTCGAGCGCCGGTGGCGCACTGCACCCTCACACACCCTTCCACCCCC